TCTTAGCTCTGTGGTGATGAGTGTGTGTTTTCTTCATCCGCTTTTACTCTGACATGCAGTCTGAGGCCCAGGGACAGATCTGGCTTAAGCCAGGTGCCTGCCAAACGTATACACAAGGTGGGAGTTGGGGTGAGAATTGTCTTAAAGGTCCCTGGAGAGAAAGATTTTAGAGTGACTGAGAGCCGTGTCCTTAGATCTGCAGGTGCATCGGGTTTTGATTGGCCACAACCTGCGGGTCCCCTGAACACCTGTGTGGATTGACGTGTGGGCTTTGGCCTTCTAGAAAGTGACACTACTGCGGGGCTGGATGGGAGGGGCCTGGGCCCTGCCTCTCTGAGGCCCTCAGACTTCCAGGGTCCGAGGCAGAGTGGCCTTTGAGCTGGTGCTGGGCTGGTGGTTCTGTGAGCTTGGGCCCAGGGCCAGGCACAGCTGTGTCCTGGCCTGCGCTGACTCTGCCCATTTGCTTTCCTCCTCAGAGCCATCCAGACACTTGCTTAAGCAACTAAATGAAAAAGGTGAGTGTGTGACGGGGTGGACAGCCATTCCCAGTGAGCTCTAGAATGGGGGCAGGGAGGTGAAGTGGGTGACAGACCTGGGTGAGGGGTTGCCGTGAACAGTTTAGAGCAGACTCTGCTCTGTTCCTCCTTTGCAGAGGGCCTCACCCCTTGCTGTCTGAGGAGGGGGCTTGAGCTCTCTCTGCCACATACATGCCTTACTCTCCTTCCTTGGGAAATGACAGGAGCTGAGCGACATGCACAGATCTGCACCGCTCTGCAGCCCCCGGGCTGCTGTTCTGTCCGTCATTCCTTTGAAAGCCTGGGAGTGGGCGCCCTGTGAGGCCTTGTTCGGGGGTTCTGGACCTCTAGCCTCTGTGAAGAGGCTCTTTCTCCTGCTTATTGATCTCTTCCCTTCCCCTGACCCTCGCCCATGTGCTGGGGACCCGGCGGTGGTGGCAGTAGCCAGAGCAACAGGAATGAAGGTAAGGCCAGCAGGCAGCGGGAGCCAGGGAGGAGGGACTGGCTGCACAGAGGGTGGGCGGGTCTGCCCGGGACTGCCCAGTCAGCGCTGGCTCCCTTTAGCTTGTCGTCTACATTCACTGGGCAAATACCTATAAAGCGCCTGCCGTGCGCCAGGCTCTGGCATGCGGGTCACAGAGATGAATAAGACATGGACCTTTTCCTGAAATGGCACCCTGCTGGTGGCCTGCCCAGCCTGGACCCTCGCATTTTGCTCTCTCTCTGGGTCAGGTGGGCCTCTTTGGGTCCTGAATTCCTGACCAGACCCCAGCCTTTCCCCTTCAAGAAAGCTCCACTCCTCACTGGACCCAGTGGAGACCCAGGGGTGGGCAAATGCAGCTTTCTGTGTGATGCCCCTCCAGCCCCAACCTCCTGCAGGAGGAAGGGAGGTTGCCCAAGAGGCCAGTCACGAGGGGGTCTTGTGCTCTGAACAGCATGCAGGCAGCACTGGCACCCTGCTGGACTTTAGGCAGCACCCCCGTACCCGGGGCCCGCAGCCAGAAGCTGAAGGGGCTTCCCAGGAGGAGCAAGAGGAAGAGGAGGAGGTGGTGGAGGAGGAAGAGCAGGCCTTTCAGGTCTCTCTGGAGGACCTGGCAGGGCATGAAGGCAGCGAGAAGGGGGCCAGGCTGGAGTCCCCAGGCTCGGAGGAGGAGGAGGAGAGCCTGGCAGTGGCGGAGCAGGTAGCCGACTTTGCCAGCTCCCTGCTGGCCGCCCTCCACTGCTGGCACTATCGGGCCAACGCTTTACTTTTCTCCCGGGGCGCTATGGTGAGGTGTCTCTTTGATCTCCCCTCCTCCTTGCATGTTCCCTGGCACATGCATGACCATCCGAGAGTTCCCTCCCTGCCCTCCCCGCCCTGCCCTGATCAGCACCTCTTAACCCCTCTCTCTCTGTCACTCCCTGGTGAGCCCCTGGCATGCGCTGTTCCAGTACTGGGCACTAACTGGTATAATACCTGTGAGCATGATTAATGGGGTGGGGGTGGCGGGAAGGGGGGAAGCCAGCACGCAGTGGGGATGGAAAGGTAAAGTCCTCTTGGCCCAGAAGGGAAAGCGGGTTGGACTTTTCCGAAGCCTCACACCTGGCAGGGATTTCTGCAGCTTCTTGGCCTGGCAGTTCAGGTCGACCCTACATGGCTGAGGTCTAAGGTGGCTCTCAGTGTAGCCCAGCCCTCTGGGGGTACAGGAAGAGCTGCCGATGTTGGGATGCAGAAGGGACCAGCTTCCAGTCATCCTGGAGTTGACGGCTGACCTCTGTTTGCAATAGGGGAAGGGGCGCACAGAGTCTGAAGGCCCCAAGAGCTGCAGAAGTCCCAGCAGCCGGTCTCCAACCAGTGCTGAGAAGCGCTTGAGCTTCGAGTCTATCTCTTCTGTGCCAGAGGTGAGCTAGTGCACAGGTACTGGAGCCCAGACCTCCAGTTCTGCAGCCGGGGCTTCTGGCATGGGCTCTCCCGTCAGGCCCATGGGAATGGGGATTCCCTACCCCCAGGACTCTCACCCCTTTAGGAATCCTGTCTGGCCTAGGGGTGTATGGTTTGGTGAGCAGACAGCCCCTTACTGTGAGTTAGGAAAAGGTGCCCTTCCTTTGGGCAGATGCACTCTCATGCCAAAGGACACAGCTAGTGGAAGAGAACCAGATTTGAGGCCCCCTTGGCCAGGCCACCTGCCCCTGCCAGCATGACAGCCATTTGAATCACACCTGTGGCCACCTAGGCAGAGGGGTAGGGTATTGATATCTCTTGGACACCTGCCACCCATTTGACATTTTATTTCTTCCTTCTGGTCTCTGCAACAGCTCTAGAAGGAAAAGGGCTCTGAGAGTTGAATGGCGTGACTGACACTGACTGGGCAGCTTCTGAGCAGCAGAGCTCAGATCACACCTGGGTCTCCTCTTCCTGTTACCCCGTGCTGTCTATGGGTTGTGAGGAGCTGGGACATGTGCATTCCCAAGGATACAAGGAAAAGATCATGAACTAAGGCTAGATCCCAGGTTGGGCCTCACAGCTGGGATAAGACTGAGAAGCCTGGATGACACTGGATAGGAACGTAGTGTGGTGTCTTGGTCAGCTCAGGCTGCTATAGCAAAATTCCTTAGACTGGGTAGTTTATAAACAACGGAAATTTATTGCTGACTGTTCTAGAAGCTGGGAAGTCCAGGATCGGGGCACCAGCAGGTTGAGTATCTGGTGAGGGCTCACTCTCTGCTTCATAGATGGCTCCTCCTTGCTGTGTTGAAAAGCAAAAGGAGCAAGAAAGTCCCTAGAGCCTCTTTTGTAAGGGCACTAATTCCATTCGTGAGGGTGGAGTCCTCATGGCTTCATCACTTCCCTAAGTCCACACCTCTTAGTCACTGGGTATTAGATTCCAGCATATGAATTTTGCAGGGACACCAACATTCAGACCATTGCAAGTGATGCTGTCCAATAACGATAGAATGGGAGCCATGTGCGTAATTTAAGTTTTCTGGTCACCATGTTAAAAAATTAAAAAGAAACAGATGAAGTTAATTTTACTAGTGTACTTTATTTAACCCAATATATCCAAAATATCATCATTTTAACATGTAGTCAATTTTAAAAGTTATAGACGTGTTTTACCCTTTTTTAATGCAAAGTCTTTGCAGCAGGTGTTGATTTGGACTAGCCACATCTCAGGTGCTCAGACAACCATGAGTGGCTGGTGGCCCCTGGGTTGGACACAGCAGGTATAGATCGTAGGTTCTGTACTGCAGATTTTGGATAGAAAAATTGGAATCAGGTCTGATTCCTCGGGATTTAAAGTGTTTGCTCTTCTCTTTTCTCTAAAGACCTCTCTGTAAATCTGCCTGTGCCAGCCAGTTTTGTGGTTCAAATTACCCTCAGGGTGGTCAAGAGGGAATTCTCACATGTGTTTCCTTCCTTGTCCATCTGCTGGGCAGATGCAGTCATGCTTGGCACACAGGTGCTAAGGCTGGCTGGCAGGAGCAAAGTTCCCGGTCCTCACCCTCTGACGGGATTACAGCATGTGGCTGTTTTGCCCTCTGGACCCAGGTCCACAAAAGAGGCCTTGGCCTCTCGGGGAAGTTGGAATGGCTTCTCATGTCACTCAGGCCTGGCTTTAAACCCCAGTATCCCTGAGTGGGGAGCCTCTAGGCTTTAGGGAGCTGCCTCACTATTGGGCAGGGCAGTCCTGGTGCCGTGGCCCGGCGGGATGCCTGACCTAGTGTTGTATGTTCTCAACTTGTCCCTATAGTTTGCTGACAGGCTGACACTAAGAGGTGTCACCACCCTACCCCATCTGTGTTCGTAGCCTTTTCTTTGGGTTTGAGGATTGAGCCCAGCACCCCAGCTGCAGGGTAACTAAAGGACATGATCACGTCTCTCTCCCTAAGAACCTGTAGCCCTAATTTTGAGTTTGTGCCCATTCTGATTGGCTTCAGTCCTAAGCTGCAGGCTTCTGTCACTGGGCTTTAAGCAGGCCATCCTGCCCCCACATTCCCCAGGTCTCATGAAGGACCTTTTTTATTCATGTGAGCTCTCTGCTGTGTTCCAGGTTGAGGCAGACCCTGAGCTGGGGACTGAGCAGGAAGTATTCGCTGCTGTGGAAGGTCCTAGCACCGAGGAGATGCCTTCAGACACAAAGTCTCCAAAAGTCTTGGAAACACAGATGGATGCCCACCAGGGGCTGCTGGGGATGGACCACCCAGGTGAGATGGTGGACTTTGTGGTGGCTGAGAGCACTGAGGACCTTAAGGCCCTGAGCAGTGAGGAGGAAGAGGAAATGGGGGCTGTCCCGGAGCCTGAGAGCCTCCTGCCCCCCTCTGTGCTGGACCAGGCCAGCGTCATTGCTGAACGGTTCGTCAGCAGCTTCTCTCGGCGGAGCAGCTTGGCACTGGAGGATGGCAAGTCCGGTGGCTTTGGGACCCCGCTGCGGGTCAGTCGGAGTAGTAGTGTGCTCAGCCTGGAGGGCAGTGAGAAAGGCCCAGCCTGGCCCGGCAGCACCACAGACTCCCTCAGCATTCAGCTCCCCCCAGAAGTGGACATCAGCATGGGGGTGGCCACAGAGAGTGGCCCTTCTGTTAATGGGACAGAGCCCCCAAGCCCAGGCTGCCTGGTGGAGCCCAACAGGTCTTCCTGCAAGAAGAAGGAATCTCTGCTCTCCACCCGAGACCGGCAGTTACTGGACAAAATTAAGAGCTACTATGAAAACGCAGAACACCATGATGCAGGCTTTAGTGTCCGGCGCCGGGAGAGCCTCTCCTACATCCCCAAGGGACTGGTGAGAAACTCGGTCTCCAGGTTCAACAGCCTGCCCAGGCCAGACCCGGAGCCGAAGGCTCCAGTGGAGCACAAGAGACAGGTGGGCTCCCGGCCAGCTTCGTGGGCCCTGTTTGACCTCCCAGGACCACGCCAGGCAGACCCAGGGGACCCAGCTCCCATCACAGATGCTGAGTTCCGCCCTTCTTCGGAAATTGTGAAGATCTGGGAGGGAATGGAGTCTTCTGGGGGAAGCCCTCGGAAGGGGCCAGGTCAAGGCCAGGCCAATGGCTTTGACCTGCATGAGCCACTCTTCATCCTGGAGGATCACGAGCTGGGGGCCATCACAGAGGAGTCGGCCACCGCCTCCCCAGAAAGCGCCTCCCCCACCGAGCGGCCCAGCCCAGCCCACCTGGCCCGGGAGCTGAAAGAGCTGGTAAAGGAGCTGAGCAGCGGTGCCCAGGGGGAGCTGGTGGCCCCGCTGCACCCCCGCATCGTGCAGCTCTCCCACGTGATGGACAGCCATGTGAGTGAGCGCGTCAAGAACAGGGTCTACCAGCTGGCCCGCCAATACAGCCTCCGCATCAAGAGCAACAAGTCGGGGATGGCCAGGCCACCACTGCAGTGGGAAAAGGAGGCTCCCGAGAGGGACCGGAAGAGCCTTACCACTCCCTGCCTACAGGAGGCTGGAGAGCCACCAAGTGGCAAAGGTATGATGGGGGTGGGCGTGGGCTCAGGGAGTCTAGGGGCAGAAGTGACCTTTAAAGAGCCTCTTCCAAAGAGAGGGGCTGGACCCCAAGCACCTAGGGTGTGGGTCAAGCTGCACACCTGGTTGAGCCCTTTCAATACCCTCCCCCCAGCCCTTCCTATGGAGCAGAGACCACTGGGGGAAACAAGGCACGGGCCCCAGCTCTACCGGGATGAGAACAGAAGCTCCCATCTCTCCCTTTGACTCCTGACCCCCTTTCCACAGCCTTTCCTTCCTTCTTTTCATTGCCCTTCGATAAAGGGCTGTAGAGGGTCACTGAGACCTCATCTCTCACACTCCAAACCCCAACAACCAGCCTTGCCTGGAAAGTAAGTGAAGATGGCCCGGTGCCCTCGCCTCCCGGCCCTCCATCCCGCCCAGTGGTTCAGGCTGCTCTCTCTCCTCGCAGGCAGGAGAAAGCCAGTGCTGTCCCTCCTCACCTATGAGCAGCTGATGGTCCAGGAGCACAGCCCCCATAAGCTCTCCTCAGCTGGGGACATCTCGCCACGGCGTTTCTCCTTTAGCCCTTCTGCTACCAGCCCGAGGACCACCTCGCCTGGGGCCCGGTCCCGCACCCGAAGTCCGCTCAGCCCCCTTGACACTGAGACCTTCAACTGGCCTGACGTCCGGGAGCTCTGCTCCAAGTACGCCTCCCAGGATGAGGTGCTGCCGGCCAAGGCCAGCCGGCCCCGTGGCCCACCTGTCAATCGGAGCCGCTCGGTGCCTGAGAACATGGTGGAGCCTCCTCTTTCAGGCAGGGTGAGCCGCTGCTGCAGCCTGAGCACCAAAAGGGGCCAGGGAGGCAGAGAGGCTGCACAGCCCCAGCCTCCCGGGTCGCTGCCCCAAAGCGGGCTGGTCGGAGGCGAGACCCTGTATGTCACTGCAGACCTCACCCTGGAGGATGACCGGCGGGTGATCATCATGGAGAAGAGGCCTCTGCCAGGCCCCACAGTGGGGCTGGAGGAGAAGGGCAGTGGGCAGGGACCAGGCTTGCAGGAGGCCCTGGCTGGGCAAAGCCAAGATTCCCAGGAGTCTTCAGAATTTCGGCTGAAGGAAGAGGGTCCCAAGGACCCAGCAGACCTGAGCCAGCAGGGCAGAGTGAGAAACCTGAGGGACAGGTTCCAGACCTTGAACTCTATAGGTTGACTCTGCCTCCTGGGGGAAGGATGAGCCATGTTGGGGGATGAGGAGGAGCCCGGCCTAGCTCCCCAAAACTTGGGCTCATGTGACCCTTTGCCCGAGGCCCTCAGGAAGGCCACTCCCACTCTCCTGGAAGAATGCTCCACTGTGCAGGTGGACTCACCTGCCTGTGTCATGTGCTGGCACTCCCCTGGGGCTTGTGACAATTTTATGTAGGCCCAGATGAGCCCCTCTTCTCCTCTGAGGCCAGTGTGGCCACTTTCCTTGTAAATAGTTCTTTTCTGGTAAGAAGCCAAATATTTAAGCTCACCTCTTCCCAGGGGGAGCAAGCACTGCTCAGGCCTCCAGCACTGGGTGGCCACTGCCAGACTGAGTGGCCCACCCCAGGAGACGCGTGGAGTGGCCTGGGGAGGCTTTGCTCTTGAACTGTGCCTTTTCTTAGGCTCCAGGCAGGAATAAGGCTGATAATTTATTGCTTTCCATTCTGTGGTGTGTGTGTGTGTGTGTGTGTGTGTGTGTGTGTGTGTGTGTGTGTG